TCGAAACAACACAGAATTTAGGGGACTAAGAAAAGTTTTTAAAGCGATTCTGAAGGTTCGTGGGCGATTAATGTTTATCGACTACATATATAAATACAATGTTCTATCAAATAACATGACAAAAGAGATTAGCGTTGCTGGTGTCGTTATTTTATGAAGATGACCAGAGTCTAACTTAACACCGGTTACATACAGCTTATCTGTAGTGTTGGTTCAGTAAATCTTAACCCATAAGAAGACAGTATTTTGATTTCAGTGCAACCCATTTTAAACTGTCCCCGTCTATAAAATAAGAAATTTAAGTGAGGATACTGCTTATTTATGATATTTTAATGGAGTCAACACTGAGATTTTAACCGCGATCCTACAGTTTACTATTTTTGGTAAAATTATTTTCAAGCGGTCTGTCCATTAAGCAAAGGTTTTAATAAACCAGTATTCTACTTATAAGATAGATTTTCACAGTAGACAAACAAGATTACACGTTCAAATAGTTGAAAACACTACACTAAGTCGGTCATCATCAGCGTATAACCTAGGACAAATGTCCACCGGCTCAAGTTTTCACATCATATCAATATAGAGACGAAATTAACAGGATGAACATCAAAAGGATCAAGATAACATTAAGTAGGTTAAACATAGGAAATATGCTTTGGAAATTCGGAATGAATTCACAGAATAGTATATAAAGATCAACACTTAAGGAAAGATACCGAATAGATGGATTTGAACTACCATAACCGACTCTAAGCTATCACGTAAGGTTCCTAACCATTGTTCACAGTTATTCTGCACACACCAATCAGACAATTTTGATCTGTTAGAGCGGCTCAGACCGGTACTTGATGACTTTGTGGACTAATGGTATTCCTTAGTTCGGTCACCCCTGGCTTTTCCATAACCTCAGTCAGTTAGTCAGCTACAACATAGGACCAGGCAAATATATGCACCGGTCCAAATTGCCATACCACATTAACACAACAAGATGAACACCGGATTCATAAAAGTAGTTAATTCCGAGGTGGTAATATATAAAAGAAAGATTGCATATGAGGATATAGTACAGGAAGAAAGAATTAGTTCATAGAAAGAAAGACATGAAGCGATTTTAATCTCTTAGTTTAAGGGAAGACAAGAAGTGTATACACCGACGCCATTGTGATCGATTCTGAGCTATGTCACCCACAGTCTCCAACCACTGGTTACAATAGTCACGCGGACCCCAACCAAGTAGTCTGCATCTACCAACATGGCTCAGACTAGAAGTTAGTGACTTCAAGCACTGATACCACGTTTTGGTTTGGCCGCCCCTAACTTTCTTCCAACCATCCCGAACGCCGGTTAGCATTGCACGTCGTGGTAATCAGTGTTCGGGCATATGTAACATGTGGCCCAACCATCTCAGTCGGTGAAGATTCACAACCTCATCAACTGATGTACCATCCTTACCTAATACCCTGCGTCTAACCTCACTATTACTTACCCGGTGATCCCAGCAATATTTCTGAGACATCTGTGGTCAAATACTAATAGCTTACGAGTGCCTTCTACTCTTAATGGCCATGTTTCGCTGCCGTAAATTAAAACAGAACGGACTGCCAGCGCAGTATACTCGTCCTTTTATTGATAGATGGATATCTCGCCTTCGCCATAGGTGACGTAAGTTGGTAAAAGCCAAGCGAGCTTTTCGAATCCGTGCTGAGATTTCGTCAGACACCAACCCATTAGGGTTGATCAGACTTCCAAGACAAGTGAAGTTGTCAACGCGTTCGACTACTTCACTCCCTATCCTTAGTTCAGGTGTTGGCGCAGGCCAGTCCTGAAGCAAAAATTTGCATTTAAAGGGGGAGAAGCGCATTCCAAACATTCTGGGATTGTTGCTCAGTGCTACCAAAAGACTGCATTTTAGAGTCTTCAGCAAACAGGACTATGTCATCTGTGTATTCTAAGTTGATAAGTGGACTTCCTGGTATGAGATCAATGCCCGAGAATTCAGTCGACGAGAACGTTATTTCCATCAATAAGTCTATGATGAAGTTGAACAAAAATGGAGAAAGTGGACAGCCTTGTCGGACACCAAATGAGGTTGCGAAAGCAGATGACAGTTCGCCATAAGTTTGACTCGACTAGTAGTGTTCGAGTAAAGAGCCTTCACAAGGTTTATGCACTTCTGAGGTACGCCTTTCGATGACAGACACTGCCACAGAATCTCGCGGTCTACCGAATCAAATGCTGCTTTCAAGTCAAGAAAGACCACCATTGTCGGACGCCGATAAGTATGCCTGTGTTCTAGAACCTGACGAATGGTGAATATGTGGTCGATGCAGCCACGACTAGGTCTGAAGCCAGCTTGATTCTCTCGTGTTGGCAGTTCACGAGTCTTAGTTAAGCGTCTGATAATTATCGAGGCCAGTATTTTAGATACTATATTAGTTAAACTAATCCCTCTATGGTTGTCACAGGATGACTTTAACCCTCTCTTATATATTGGGACGAAAAGTGATTGTGACCAGTCAAATGGGATAACGTCTAGCTCCCAGGTTTTAACTAAAATATTAGTCAACCTAATCGCTAAAATTGGACCGCCATCCTTAAAGACCTCTGGAGACGATCCATCTGCCCTTCCTTGCTTCAGATTAACTATAGCCTTTCGAACTTCAGCTAGAGTTGGGGGACCTACTTCAAAGTTCCATCCACACTGTCTGGGAATGGTGGGTAGTTGTAGAGTAGCTGAAGGCCAGCTGAACTGTTCTCTAAAGTGTTCCAACCATCGTTCTAAACGTCTGGACTAGGAGCAGATGAGTGTCGTCTTTTTCCGAAATAGTCTGACTTACACTTGACTTGTTAATTCCAGTTTCTTTTATTAATCTGTAGAGCTGTCTTGTGTTCCCTATAGCCGCCGCTTTTTCCATCTCTTGCTTTTATTGCCCACCACTGCTCACGGTCGTTCCTTAGACTTTTGCTTAACCTAGATCTGATTTGTTTTCGCTCTTTATCGTGTTCAGAGCCTGATGGGATGAGTTTACGAGGATCCATCAATGCAATAGACCTTGAGGGAATCCATTGGTTCTTTGTAACCCTGTGGTTTAAAGCACTAATAAATGTCATTGCTGTTTCCACAGCTGTTTGTATATCTTTCCAAGCAACATCTTGGTGAGCCTCGTTTTCAAAACTACCTAATTGTGACCTCAGTTGTTCCTGGAACCTACTTTTGGTTTCCTCGTTACTCAATTCAGTTCTAATAGGTCTTTTTACTGAGGCTTTTTTGCGTCCAGTGAGGCGCAAGCAGATGCGTGCCCGTATTAGGGCATGGTCGGAGTCCAAGCAGGTACACCAGTATGAGCGACAATCTTCTATCGATCCTCTCCAACGATGACTGATGGCAATATGGTCTATTTGAGTCCATCGTTGGTTTGGTGTAGAGGGTCGCCATGTTAGACGATGTCTCTGCTTATGCTTAAAATTTATGTTTGCTAAAAATAAACGATTGTCTGAGCACAGTTGCAGCAGACGATCACCATTATCTGTTCGTTGTGCCGAAATACTGAAACACCCACCTAAATGCATTTCTGTTTGGTTTAAGCTACCTATCTGGGCATTAAAGTCACCTGCTACGAGTACTATGTCTGAACGTTTAGCTTTCTGAAGAAGTTCAGATAGCTTTTTGTAAAATTCATCTTTCACTTCATCTGAGCTGCAGTCAGTGGGTGCGTAGGCAGAAACGACAAAAAGGCAACGACGTGTGTCCCTATCCTTCCGAGTTCTTACGGAGCCGTTTAGCCGAACAGCACATAAACGACTGTTAACAGGGATCCACTCTAACAATGCCTGTTCCGCCCTCATGCTTAGTGCTATGTCCTTTCCATAACCTACTTTTCTACGAGACAGAATTACGTGTCGGGGTAGGTGATGATTGGGGATGCGTAACACCTATCCTAGGTACCTCAGTCAAAGGTTTACGTGCTCACGAACTAATTACGTTAAGAGGATAGCATTAAATTTACTTATTTATTTTAACACGTAAACATTGGTTAGAGGAACCAAATATATATGCGTTATACAAATCATTCAATTTGTGTGAAAGCATTAAACGCCGATTATAATCACTTCAAGTTCCTAAGAATCTTGTTCACTCTTATAAATATAAAGACAATGCAACGCGCCATGTGTATATAAAGCAAACGATAGATGGTTTGATTTAATTACCCACTAGAAAAAATATGAACAGAAAATTTTGTATCGGCTGAATATGTATAGATTATACATGTGGAATTATTCATGTATACAGAATGATATCAAATTTGCATTTCTTTCTAGTGCATTTAATCACTAATCACTTATAAATTAGGATTATCAACTTCTGAGGACGAACGAAGTATAATTTGTTTCTTTGAGAAACCACCTTCTGTTTCTACAATCAGATATCGATAATCAAATTCTTTAGATTCATTCTGATTAGATGAGAAAAAGAAAAACAAAAGAAGAGTAAACCTTTTTATTTATGTAAGACTATGTTTAACTGTGTAAAGAAGAAATAGTAACTAGTTTTTCAAAAGGAAGTCGTACATTTATCTACTTTCCAGTGGTAAGTAGTATAAATTCCAAACACATATTTCTTATTGCAGAGAATAGGATTTAAAATTTAGATTTGAAGATTTTGGGAATGCAAACAGTAGTTATTTATTTATTTGAACACAAACATAGGTACAAGGGGGCAACATATACATATGCGCCGCACGATAACAATGAAACCAGTAGCAGTTAACGCTGATCAGTGTGAGGGCTGTGATACTGCCTGGGTGCCCAAACTGAAGCAAAAGGTCTCCTTGGGGAGGGGGGCACACACCCGGAGCCTTTGACCTGAAGGTCTAATCTACAAGGTAGTGGAGCAACTTTAGGATGCAGCCCCATGGTGGCCGGTGACTAACAACTGGTTCATATGCCTTTTGTTACCTTAAGATCCTGGAGCCCATGTACAACATTGGTTTGGGATCATGGTTTTCCAACTCCCCTAGGTGGATGCTCCAAACCCGCTAACCCGGTTAAGGCGCCAGACATTCGCTTTACGTCCTCTCACTTTCGTAAACTACACCCACGCCGCGGGAAGGCAGTGAGTAGGACCTCCCTGGTAGTGGCTATATACGCATGGCCATGTGAGAGAATTTCGAAAGGGAGAGTGAACTCTCTTCACCCTCAGTCGTACCATGGGAAAGTTAATATGGTGAGACTGATTTGTTCATTATGAAAAAGATGCCTATCTCTACATTTTAAATCGCGAAATAAGGTATGTGTTTTACATGCAGACTTATGGAACTCACTTTCATTGTATTCATTTGGATGGTTATTTAACAAGCTAGCGAATAGAAAATTTTGAACAGGCGGAGGATGTATGATCTACCAAAAATGTATACCACTTCGAATTATTACAATGAAAACAATTATGCTGCGGGATGTGAAATGTACGAAGGTTTCCTACCAATAAACTAGTGTTTTCAGATTTAGGTAGCGATGAGTATGGTTTTCTACACAGTTTGGAAAATAATTAATGTTAAGTTTGAATAACAAGTTATTACGAGGATATCCCGAATATTCGATAAAGACTGAACAACTGAAGGTTTATAGAAAAAAACAGTTCGATTTAACTGTGGGAAAAAATAATACGATGACTATACCTCCGTTTCAGAAACCCAAGTTCAATTACTGTTGGGAAACACAATTATCACAAAAATTATATGTATTAGGACAGAATAACATCTAAAGCTCTGTTGCAACTTTACGTAATAGTACAGACATTGAAGAATTGATGTTAGTCCTGACTTAATTTTGAGGAAAGACTAGTTGGTTGGAATTTTTCTGCTTGGTTAATGCTTCCTGTGGCTTATTTTTTTTATGAACCACACATCTTCCGATGTTTGTGCTTTTACTCTATTTGTCACTAGATGTGTAATTTATGACATTGATTTCAAAATTAAACTGAAAGCTAAGTACAGTTGGTAAGTTCAGCACTCTTACTAAACCATGCGAGTGCAAACTGGAGTTGGACTACAATTTTACACTAAAAAACAATACATGGTGAACACTTTTTACAATATAGATTTTCACTTTCATTGCTTAGTACCCAAGAATATCATAGCGTCCCAGTTGAACATATCTGTTGCTTAAATATTTTAGATTGAATGCTTTTCGCAAATCATCCAAATACGTAGTTACACAACTATCTCCGAAAAAGATGGAAATAATATTGTTCACTCTCAATCCAGGAGATTGGATCGATGGGCAGAACACTTTAGGGATCAGTTCAACTGGCCTTCAGCCACACTTCGGTTTCCCACGATCTCCAGTCAACCTGAATGGCAAGTTAATGTAGGTCCTCCGTCCCTTTACGAAGTTGAAAAAGCCATAGGAAATCTGAAACGAGGGAGAGCAGCAGGCCCTGACAGGTTTACTCCTGAGATTTTTAAGAATGGTGGTCTAGTATTAGCAATCAGATTAACCGAGGTCTTAGGTAGAATTTGGGAACTGGACGTAATCCCATCTGACTGGTCTCAATCACTGATTGTGCCAGTCTATAAGAAAGGACAAAAGTCCTCTTGTGACAATCACAGAGGAATCAGTTTGACTAATATAGTGTCTAAAATATTAGCTTCAATAATACTTCGACGCCTAATCAAAGCTCGTGAAGAGCAGATTAGAGAAAACTAGGCCGGTTTTCGACCTGGACGTGGTTGTATCGATCAGATATTCACACTACGTCAGGTTCTAGAACACAGACACACATTCAGACGCCCCACAATCGTAGTATTTCTCGACCTTAAGGCGGCATTCGACTCGGTTGATCGTGAGGTACTATGGTGGCACTTGTCACTGAAAGTAGTACCAAAGAAGTGCATTAACCTTATAAAGGCTCTCTACTCGAACACAACTGGTCGAGTGAGAGCTTATAGAGAACTGTCATCAGAATCGATTACCTCAAGTGGTGTTCGTCAGGGCTGTCCACTCTCTCCATTCTTGTTTAACTTTATCGTCAACGTACTTTTAGAGATGACACTTTCCTCATCTAAATTTCCAGGGGTTGAACTACTGGGAGATTCACTTGTTGACTTAGAATATGCCGACGACATAGGTCTATTTGGTGAAGACGCTGACAAAATGCAGAGTCTTCTGACCACTATAAGCAACAATACAAGCATGTTCGGCATACGATTCTCCCCCTCGAAATGTAAAATGTTTCTTCAGGATTGGGTTGCATCGACACCTGAACTAATGATAGGGAGTGAAGCAGCTGAGCGTGTCGACCGCTTCACTTATCTTGGAAGTCTCATCAGCCCTTGTGGTCTAGTGTGTGACGAAATCTCAGCACGGATACAGAAGGCTCGACTAGCTTTTGCCAACTTGCGTCATTTATGGCGTAGGCGAGATATCCATCTATCAACCATAGGACGTGTTTACTGCGCAGCAGTTCGTTGCGTCCTACTTTATGGCAGTGAAACATGGCCGGTAAGAGTAAAGGATACCCGTAGGTTACTAGTATTTGATCATAGGTGTCTTCGAAATATTGCTCGTATATCGTGGGACCATCGAGTAAGTAATGCAGTTGTTAGAAAACGGGTACTAGGTAAGGGTGGCAAATCAATTGATGAAGTAGTGAAACTTCATCAGTTGAGATGGCTGGGACATGTGCTACGTTTGCCCAAGCACTGACTTGCGATGTTTTATGGTGTGAGAGTAGGTTGGAAGAAAGCTAGGGGCGGCCAGACCAAAACATGGCACAAGTCCATGAAGTCACAGACAAGTGGACTGAGTCATGTTGGTAGTTGTAGACTACCTGGTTGGGGACCGCGAGATGATAGCAACCGATGGTTAGAGACCCTGAATGACATGGCTCAAAATCGTTTGCAATGGCGCAGGTGCATCCACTCTCTGTGTTCTCCCAAATTCTAATTTTCTGAACTCTCTATGTCCGTTTTCTTCTCTTTCCAAATGTATTTCACTGTATTATACTCCTTGAATAACATATTCAAACCTTAATCTTTCCGATTACTGCTTATACTCTTACTACCTCTACCAGAATGACTTGCTTTGAACCATATCACTCGGGGTCTGCGATCACAGAATTTTTGAGTTTCAAGGGACCAAACTAAGAATCCTATTCTTCTCATGCTAGTAAGCAATAACTTCATTGGTTAGTTTTGTGCAGGGGTTTGAATCACTGTGACGTATATTATTTCCAGAATTCCATTCATAAGGATTGTTTTAAGGGGTCATTGAGGATGTGACATTGATAGTTAAGATAAAATTTGAATGTGAATAATGATTATTGAGACATATACTTTGCTCATTATTTAGGTTTATTTATTCGAGATTTGAAATAATACCCGTATCAGTGTTTCTTTATCTTAAAAGGAATACAAACGTTTTCAATAATACCTTTAAAATTAACAAAGATTATCGATGAATGTTGCAACAAGATTACACCGAATGTTAAAAACAACTCACTTCAACAACCTCGAGATAAACTACACCAGATGCCAAATTGCCTTTAATGTAAAATTTCATTGCCATATGCAGTCGACTTTTGTCATCATGCCATGAGTCATAGCTAGAAGTTTTGTGAACAAGGAAATTAGGAGTCAATCTTTGACATAGATAAGGAGTTACGGTAAGCTAGTTAGTTGATTACACGATGATATGGTTTATTAATGTATTGAATAGAAGTGTATCGATGTGGCCTAGTGGTCGAACCACTTGCCTTTCAAACAGCTCGGAGGTTCAAACCCTACTTCAACTAACGCAGCTTGGGAAGTCAAGTAATATCACTAGTCCTCACATAGTGTTAGCCGATGCTAGGTTAGACGACAGCTGATTGGACCAACATGAGACTTGAAATAACGATAGTGGTTAGTGATGTAAAACTAGATTATAATACAGTACTAACTGATACATGTTGAACGGTATGGATAACGTAATCAGAGAATCACCCACCAGATGTTTTATTTCATTGGTTTTTCATCAGACTCGCAAAATCTGAATTAAGTCACAGCGTATGAATAAGTATAGTATATTTTAGTAACTCTTTAATGTTGGTTAAAGACACTAGCCAAATGGAATTGATGTGCTACCTAACCATTCAAGATCATCATAATTTTAATCTAAGTTGCAGAATATATTAAACAGTATGAATACTTTACTCTAAGGATTCAAAATAAGTCAGATTTTGTGGACAATCCTCAGCTATCTATTTTAAACCAGGACAGAGTAAAAAAAAACATTTCTTTTAGTTTGTAGTTTTATTGTTATCCAGTGAGTATTTTCATAAGCAAAACGATCAATGTGGACTAAAACTCACGAACTTATATTTACTGGTGAAAACCAACACATAGCTTATGTTACTTCTTTTAACGTGAATTACTAACGACTTGCTTTTTCTGAAAATTTACGTAGCTAAGTGCTCGTGTTTTGGAAATAATAAGCTAGGCCAGAAGTCGATAGATCTTTTGAGATTACTTAATATTTAGAGGTTAAGATAATTCTAATAAGTTAATTTGACCAAATGAGGATCTAACTGACTTTAAGAACTTGGAGAAACGGTACACATTAACACAGGCAACGTTTGCACACACATCGATGAGGTCAGCCCACAAATATTTTCAGCAAAGTTAGCTTATTGATAAACCATAACTGAACACGCTATATTGAAGATTAGAGATGGAAGTAAGGCTACATCGGTTTTGAATAAGATTTGTGTAAATCAACTAAGCAGGAGTATTGATGAGTTTTGGGAGGGTTTTCCCACAAAATATGTTTGATACTTGATTTTTCAAAGCGATAACTATCAAAATAATCGATTCCCCTGTCCAGATTATAATGCATTAACTCACGGTGTTAGCCTATAGTCACAAATAATCCGGACTTTGTAAATATCAGAAATCATGAATGCAGAAATTCAGTTACTTGTAAATAGTGAACATTACAAATCAAAAGATTGTCGACGCTGCTGAGCGCGATAAATAAGACTATCTTACGCAATATTTTGTCTTCTACGACGACTATCGGGGCTGGTACGAGCCTTGAGAGAACTTCCAAAACAATCAAGCACCTGAGAAGTAATTAGATGGGGTCTTATTTTCTGATTACAATAAACGCACTCGACTGTCAGTCTTACAAATTCTGAAGGCATCGTCATAAACACCATTAGGGCTCCTGGATGAAAAAAGTTCATGAATTATTGCATATAAGATGGTGCCTATTGATTACAACTATTAGTTATGCAACCCATTTCTCACCTGTAAGCACAAAGCCACCAAGGACTACCGTAAAATACCCAACATCTTTAGTCGTTTGTTTTACTTTTCAGAAATCCAAAACATTATTTTGAGATACCTTTCTCAGTTACACTAGCTAGTGGAAGGTTTTCACGTTTTTCTGATGGGGTGACAGAGCTGTTACTCGCTGAACTAACTGAACGATATGGCCTTACTGGCCATTGTTGATAGGGGAAACGTGAGACACTTAGCTTTACCGATGGGACTTGGAAGCAAATTAGCTTGACAAATCTTGTCATTTTTTGCGCTGATTTCCGCAACCAGGACGATCCTAGGGGTATCGTTCACTGATGGAGGTCACTGAGCACTTGAAGGTCAAGCCGTCATAAAGCGATTGGTGCGCCACCGCGACATTTCGCACGCGATGAGACTTCTATGGACGACCTTTGAGCGACTCTAAAATGGCCTTGAGAGTGCCTGCCTAATAACTAGAACCAAATGAAGATTATTAAGCGGTTTGAAGGATAGGGATTATGATTTACATTTGATGGTTAAGGTTAGGAATTATATTTAGGCTTTTCATCACGAACTGACATCAGCTATAATGCCAGAACTCTATTCAGCCAAATAAATGATTGAATGAGTGTATCCCATGACAGTGGGACATGTGAAGTAGCTAGTTGCCGCTTGAAATGCAAGGGACAAGAAATGCTGATTGGTTTGATCTGTCGCGGTCCAGGCTGTGAGGTAAATGAATTTCTGCAAAGCAGTCTTAATACTTGGTCACAAAATGGTCGATGTCTAATCCTAATCAGTCTTCGGTAATAAGGATAGTAGGTTGATGAACCTGTGTTAATCCTGACACACTGCTTTCCAGTGAAGTTTCAGTCTCAGTTTCAGTTTGGGAAGGACAGGAGGCTCGACGGCCTATGTTAGTCCTGGCAATGGTGATCTCTCAGTTGATCCGACTTTCTTTTGAAGGCACTGACAGATGGAGCTTCAGTTACGTGTTGAGACAATGAATCCCACTCGTTCGATGGGAAAGTCAGTAGTCAACTGACAAGTAATTTGTCCTGGGATTGTAAACTTTTTTGGAGTGTCCTCGTAAATTCTCTGTTTTGGAAGACAAGAAAAATGAGGGCATATCACATGCGGATTTACCACTCAGCAATTTGAAAACTGTAATCAAGTCACCTCTAGTTCTTCCATATCACAAAGGAATATGTTTAGCTTGGTCAGTCGAGCATCATACGAAAGCTTCGCTATTCCGGAAATTAGCATAGTTACTGTCCTTTGAAACTTTTTCAGAAGCTCACTGTCTTTTTTAAGCAGGGGCTAGCCGCTTGTATGCAGTACTCAAGTTTAGGACGAACGAACACTGTATACAAAGTCAAAAACGTCTTAGCGTCGACATGACTAAAAGCCCTACGTATTGACCATAACGTTCTAAAACTTTTGGCGGCTATTGCACGGCAGTGTGCAGTAGTCTTTAAGTCTTGACTAACGATAACTCCTAAGTCATTATATGTCTGGACGACAGGTAGCTCAGTGTTATTCATCGTGTATGTATCTGTGCCTTGATGACCGATATGCATCACAACACACTTGGAAGTATTTATCGGCAACTGCCATGTTTGAGACCATTCAGATAACTTCTTCAGGTCATTTTGAAGTTCTAAGCTATCACTCTTACATCGTATCGTTCTCCATATCTTGACATCGTCAGCATATAGCAAGACCGATGATGATAGGAGACAAGGAAGGTCATTTACATACAAGAGGAATAGCACTGGCCCCAAAACTGTACCCTGGGGCACTCCACTAAGCACAGTTTCCCAGCTAGATAACTTTGAGTTCACCCTTACTCTTTGTTGACGCCCAACTAAGAAGTCTTTTATCCACATCAATAAATTACCTCCAATCCCGATATGTCTTAACTTATATAACAGCCGGTTGTGCGGAACTTTATCAAAAGCTTTACTGAAATCAATGAAGGCGACGTCTACAGGTAGCTTTTGGTCCTTAAGAGCGCACCAGCTTTCACGAGCCACTAATAAGTTAGTGAGACAAGAATAACCTATTCTGAAGCCATGCTGCTTCTCCGAGAGGATCCGGTTTTTATCGAGATACTTAAACAGCTCCTTCCGAATAATCTTTTCTAATATTTTAACAACCACACTAGTTAGGCTAACGGGGCGGTAGTTCTCAGGTTTGTGTTTCGTGCCTGTTTTGAAGACAGGACTTACTATGGCGTTTTTCCAATCTTTCGGTAAGCGACCCTGCGTAACGGATAGGTTAAAGCATGTACTTAAAGGGTTCGCAACGAAGTTAGATAATTCCTTCAGTAGCCTAGGATGTAATTCATCGGGCCCCGTGGATTTACCTATGTCAAGCTTATTTAGCAGACCAAAGACATCGAGTTCTTTAATGGTCACGCTATCCAGTGTATGTATGGGGGGATCTGTATACGCTGACGAGAAGGGTGCTTCTATGGTATACACGTTGCTAAAGTAGTTCGAGAACGCTTGAGCCTTACCAAAGTCGTCCTCCACTAATGATGAAGCAGTACTGTCTCCCCATAGAGCAGGAATATTTCCTTTTCTCCTTGTCCTTTGGTTTATATAGGAATACAAGCGTTTAGGACATTCTATGGATTCCTTAACAAGTTTTTCTTCGTACAATTTTCTAGACTTACGGAGGGTCGAGGCACAAGTGTTCCGAGCCTTTCGATACTGAGATTTTGACTCATCAGTCCCCAGTAACCTAAATCTATCCCACGTTTTCCTTTTCTTACGGAGAAGGATACGGACCTCCCTACTGAACCATGGTGGTGAGTTTTTCGGCCCCTTTGGTATAGTCCAAGGGATGTGAGGTGTGGTAACTTTTAAGTATGATTTTCGAAATGCGTCCCAGGCCGTTTCAATGGAGGACTCTGGGTCTATTGTCCAATCTATTAACGATGCTGAGTGCATGATGTCTGGTATGTTTGCTTTCCAGACGTTGGGTCTGGACTGGACTGACGCGTCCTCATGACTGGCAGTTATATGGAAGTCGAAAGTTAAAACTGCGTGGTCACTTTTACCTAAGGGTGGCATATGGTGGAGGTTCGCAACATCATCCTCATAGTGAGTCAGTATAAGATCTAATAAGGATGATTCAGTGTCCGGGTCGTACCTAGTCGCTTCTTTCACATGTTGCACTAGGGCACATGTGATAACCGCATCAACTAGTTCCTGCTCGAAGGAATTTTCTGACGATTCAGTTCGCAGATTTTCCCAGTCTACCATAGGTGCATTAAAGTCCCCTAGGATTAGACATCGACCACTTTGGGACCAAGTATTGAGACTGCTTAACAGGATCTCATTTGCCTCACAGCTTGGACTGCGATAGACCAAACCAATCAGCAGCTCTTGTCCCTTGCATTTTAAGCGAAGACTAACTAATTCACACGTCCCACTCTCATGGGATACACTATCGATAATGGTAAATGGGATAGCATTCCTAATGAATAGAGCTACTCCCCCTCCTTTGCGCTTTTGTGTTCTGTCGGCCCTTACTAACGTAAAGCCCTCGAAATCAAGTTCTATACTATCTATAGCCTGTGTCAGCCAGGTTTCTGTTACTGCGATTATATCTGGCTTTATAGAGTCAATCTGTACACCTAGTTCCGATCGCTTATTAAGTAAGCTTCGTGCATTGGTGTAACAGATCCGAAGCCTGTTTAAGTGCCTTCGTGCTTCACCCAGAGTGGCTTCGGCATCATTCTCTGTCGAAGTCTTACAACCCGAAAATTTACAATTTTCAGGTCCTTTTCGCCAGCGTCTAACCTATGTTGTAGTTCTTTCTCGGCTTCCCGTCTTTTAACACGGTCTGCCAACGGTAGGTCCTTTCGGATAAAGACTCCTGAACCCTTTAATTTGTGTCCATTTTGTAAAATTAGGTCACGTTCGTTTGAAGAGCCGAATACTACTTTAAGCAGTCTGGAATGATTTGGTTTCGAGTCCGTTAGACTCCCTAGTCTATACACCTTTAGCAAGGTGACCCCAGTCATATTTTGAGGCATGAGTTGATTAAGCAGCTGCCTAATCAGTACAATGTCATGCTCAAAACGAGCTTTAGGTTCAGAGCTATCGCTCTCCTTAATTCTATGAAAAATAGCTGATCTGTCGCTATGATCAGCTTTCGATTTTTCAACCACTTTTACGGGGGCAGGTTTCCCTTTTATATCAATACTTTTCTTCCTTACAACCTTTACCCATTCGTCAACGCTGCTGGTAGAAGCAATAGCAGTTGCGTCAAACCTAGTGTTGGGTTTTGGGGGGTTGTCGACGACCTGAGGGGTCGTGTTATGTTTACCATTTGAAACCGATCGAGCCTTGCGATTGCGGCTCCTAGGTGTTTCCTGTTGGATCCCATCTGGGAGACGGGGAACAGAAGACCCTACTTTTCTTGAGCTTTTTTTAAGGCAGGCCCCTTTGGAGACTGCTTTTCCTTCTTTGACGGGCGTGAGTCATCTATCACCGGACTCACCTTAGTTTCCTTCACATTGATTTGCGTGTCCAGCCTTTCCTTGAAAGTATTCACTGATGGGGCTGATACCACTTGTTCGGGTAAGGCGTTCCAATGATTGACTACTCGATGAGAAAAACGGGATCCCACTTTAAGTTTATTAGATCGTGGTTTTCGAACCTTCTTGCTATGACCTCGGAGATTATTAGTGCTGGAGGGAGCGAAATGATAAGACATATTAACACCCAAATCATAATTAAAGATACGAAATGCCAGTATAAGGTCATCTCGTGTCCTACGATACGACAAGGGGAAAAGATTTAGGCGTTTTAAGCGCTCATCGTAAGGGAGTCTAGAAAGACCCTTCACTAATTTCGTTCCCACACGCTGGACACGCTCAAGGGAGTTAGTATCCTTTATCAGACACGGGCTAGCTGCTTGGATACAGTACTCTAAATGTGGTCTAACATATATGAAATATAAAATTCGAAACGTTTCCTCGTCAAAAGATTTGAACGCTCGATGAAGTGACTATAACGCACGAAAACTTTTGACAGCGGCTGCTTTGCAGTGCGTAGTTGTTTTTAAATCATGATTTAATATTACTCCTAAGTCTTTATGCTCTTGAACGCATGGAAGAGGTTTACCCTCAATAGTGTAACGGTAACTATTACCGTGACCGATGTGCATTAGTACACTCTTCCTAGCATTGATTTCTAAGCCCCACTCTCGAGCCCATCTAACTAAATCGTCTAAGTCAGCTTGAAGATCCAGATGATCAGCCGCACTTTTTATTGTTATCCAGATTTTTACGTCATCCGCAAACAATAATGTCGACGACCTAAGTAACAGCGGTAACTCATTAACGTAGAGAAGGAAGAGCAGTGGGCCGAAGATGGTGCCTTGGGGTACACCACTTTTGACCGGCTTCCAATCGGATAGCGTTCCATTGACCCTAACTCTCTGTCTGCGGTCACATAAGAAATTTCCTATCCACTCATGTACAGTACCTATTATTCCGAAGCTCGTGAACTTCTGCATAAAACCTACGTAAGAAACCTTGTCAAACGCCTTGCTAAAATCTATGAATATCACGTCGACAGACAGACCATGATCTAGGGCTTCTGTCCAATCCTC